GATATAAGCTGAGGGTCAGAGAAATTAAGTGCTCTTCCACCGTGAGCGAGAGACAGAGCGAGGACTTGAATTTGGTTTGATGCCACAGCTGGTCTTAACCTCCATGTTATTAGCGTCCTGGGCAAAGGAAAACAATAAACCAAGAAGCTGAGGTGAGAAACAGCACAGAAGAGTGGAGGAGACTACAGAAAAACGTTGTGTTTCTGGAGCACCAAGTTCCACTCACAAAGATGTCAGCGGAGGCTAGAGGGGACAGTGGGAGCCATGGAGGACCTTGTCAGCCACGATCAGGAATATGGACCTGTTTCTGAGGGTGGTGGGGGCCCAGAGGTTTTACATAGGGAAGTGATGCGACCTCTCACTGCAGTCAGAAGGAAGGATGCAGGTGGAGAGCGAGAGCGGAGAGGTGGGCCACATACTACTCCAGAACTTGCTTCTCCATATCTTTCTGTTTATGCACACGTGGAAAATTATTCCTGGTGTGTGACACACTGGGTAATAAAGGAGGGGGCTATTTGCAACCAGAGACAACCAACCTAGGGGCTCCAGCCAGCTGAAATCCCTGCACAGCCACTGCTAGGGCTGAGGAATCCCAGGCACATGTACCCTAGTCACTCCAGACTCAAGTGACAATGGAGGATGAACAACAGGAGCATGGCTGGGCTTGGTGGCTCAGCCTGTAATCCCAGCACTTTGGGAGGCCGAGGCGAGAGAATTGCCTGAGCCCGCGGCTTCGAGACCCGCCCAGGCAACTTGGTGAGACCTCGTCTCTATAATAAATCAAAACCTAGCCAGGCGTGGTAGTGCACGCCTGTAATTCCAGCTACTTGGAAGGTGGAGGCTGAAGGATCGCCGGGGCCCAGCGGGTACAGCCTGCGGTGGTCCGGAGCGTGCCACTGCACTCCAACCTGGGCGACAGAGTGAGACTTCGACTCAAAAAAAACCCACCAAAAAAACCAGGAGCTGGAGTCAAGGAATGATTAGAAAGCAAAGTAGTGAAAGGCACGTGAGAGGCAAAAGATGACCCCTGAGATTCTGAACCAAAAAACTGAACCAACAGTAGTTTCTTCACTGCTGCAGGAAGCATGGGGACAGGACTGATCTGAGAAAGAACTAAGTTCCGTTTGGCGACCCCTGTGTTTTAGGTGGGTGCAGAACCCAGCAGTCAGTGGAGCAGGGCTCTGGAGGCAGACAGACTGGGTCCAACTTCTAGTTTCACCAACTTGCTCGTTCTGTCACCTTGGGCAAAAAGCATGTTCATTCGTCTGTAAGACAGGGATAACTGGGTTGTTGAGAGAATAAAATAAGGTTATCCGTAAATCTGAAGCTCAGAAATGAAGCAATTTCAGAAGTCATCCAGTGGCGATTGAAACCAGGAGGATAAATGAGATGATCCAAAAAGAGCGTATATGGTAAGGAGGGAGGATGTTGACCACCAAGGGCATTGACATTTCAGGAGTGGGCAGAGGGAGAGGAACCTAAGAACAAATGGCCAAAAAGGAGGAGGAAAGCCACGAGAGCCCGGTGTCATGGAAGCCACACCCAGCAGCCACACGGGATCATCTGCCTCCTTCCTCCTTCCTAACAGAACCCAGTGTGATGAGGGTGAGACTTCTCTCTTGATGATGCCTAGGAGGAGGCAGCCCACAATCCCAGCTCCAAACTAGCAGGTGAGGCCTCTTCATATTGGGCAAAGCAAACAATGTGAGCCAAGAAGCTGAGATGAGATACAGCCCGGAAGAGAGGAGGAGACTAAAGAAAAACATGGTGTTTTTGGAACACAGAGTTCCACTTATTCCCTTGGCAGTGATTAGTTTAGGAAGGCATATCTGATGCACTTCTGTTCAATGGAACTTGATGAAAAGTCTGCTGGGGGACTTCTGGAAAAGATTTCCATGGTCTTAAAAAGGAAGTAAAGGCCAGGCTCGGTGGCTCAACCTGTAATCCCAGCACTTTGGGAGGCTGAGGTGAATGGATTGCCTGAGCCCGGGGGTTTGAAACCAGCCCAGGAAACTTGGTGAGACCTTGTCTCTACAATAAATAAAAAATTAACCAGGCGTGGTAGCACATGCCTGTAGTTCCGGCTACTTGGAAGGCTGAGGCAGAAGGATTGCTTGAGCCCAGTGGGTTGATGCTGGGGTGGCCATGAGTGTGCCACTGCACTCTTGTCTGGGTAACAGAGTGAAACTCTGACTCAAAAAAAGGAAATAAAAAAACCACAAAGAGCCAGGCATGGTGGCTCATACCTTTAATCCCAGCACTTTGGGAGGCAGAGGTGAGAGGATTGCCTGAGCTCAGAAGTTCGAGACCAGCCTGAGCAACATGGTGAGACTTTGTCTCTATAATAAATCAAAAAATTAGCCGGACTGTGACTCCAGCTACTTGGAAGGCTGAGGCAGAAGGATCACCGAGCCCAGCAGACTGAGGCTGCAGTGGCCATGAGGGTACCACTGCATTCCAACCTGGGTGACAGAGTGAGACTCCATCAAAAAAACCCACAAAGATCCTAGACTGGTAATGAAGAAAAGAAAGCATACACACACATACACACACACAAATATATTATCTCACACTCACTAGGATGGTTAGAATTAATAAGTCAGATGACAACAAGTGTTGGTCAGAACCCCAACACACTTCTAGTAGGAACGTAAAATGATATGACCATTTTGGAAAACAATTGTGGTGGCAGACCTCCAAAGACTCCAAAAGGGAAGGTACTGTGTCCAATAAGTCAAAGAAATGACCAAAGATAAGAGATATGAGCTCTATTCAGGGGATGGTAGTCCAGGAGCGGCCAGCAGGACAGGAAAAAACTGTTCCTGATTGTAAAAGACACACAGAGCATTACATAGAGTGGAGTGTGAGGTTAATTGTGAAGAGGGTATGGTCTCTAGTGTACAGGCATAGTGTGAGAAATCACTTATACATACATTGCATTATAGAAAATGGTTGTGAACTCTCTCTAGAGATGGGAGTTTTAGCAGTAAAATGAACTAAAGATAACCAAAAGTTATGGGCATTGAGCCAGACAAGCACAGACAAGTGCTGACTGCCTCAAGGAAGGTTGCATGGGAACATTCACTACGCATTAGCTGCAAGATGTGGTCAGCAGACATGGAGAACACTTCACCCAGGGCCTCAGTATGACCAGCATGCCCAAGACGGAGCCTGAGGGGAAGGGGAGATCCTGGGTTGGCCATATCCTGCTTGGGGCCATATCCAGGGTGTGCTTGTATAGTCACTGCATCTCCCTACATACCCTTGGATAGCCCTCACATTCTCAGTGTTCTTTTCCTCTGAAAATCCTCTGCAGCCAGGCATGGAGGGAGGACTGCAACCAAAGACCCCAATAGCAATATAGCTAACGGAGAATGAGGAGAATGCCAATCATGCTATAAATGAAGGCTCTCCATATATTAGGGAGTTCGTCTAACCATGCTGCAAAGGAGTCCGGAGACAGGGTTTCCATAGCTGAAAGATGCATACTGAATGCCTGCATAACCCGAGTTATATTATTGGGCAAAATCTGGGATATACACAGAGCATTCTATCTTCTTTTTTGTTGTTTTTTTGAGTTGGAGTCTCACTCTGTCGCCCAGGCTGGAGGGCAGTGGAACACTCCCAGCCACCATAGCCTCGACCTGCTGGACTCAGGTGATCCCTCTGCCTCAGCCTTCCAAGTAGCTGGAACTACAGGCATAAGTCATCACACCTGGCTAATTTTTTGATTTATTGTAGAGATGAGGTCTCGCCAAGTTGCCCGGACTGGTCTTGAACCCGTGGGCTCAGGCAATTCCCTCACCTTGGCCTCCCAAAATGCTAGGATTATAGGCGTGAGCCACTGTGCCCAGCCTGAGCATTCCATCTTAATCGGTGCACAAGTGCCATCCTGGATGGCAGTCAAAATATCTAGGGCTATGCAGTCTTGCAAGGTTATCCCTCTGCAGGAGGGTCAGTAGGCTGGACCTGAGCTTCCTTGATAAAGTCCTGATCAGAGTTGAGCTTTTGCCACAGTCTATTAGAAGAGCATTGAGCTGTTTGTCAGTCTTCTCAACGGGCATCCCTGCCACCTCCAGATTGTTCCATATCCGATGGTGGGGTAACTTGATGGGTTCCTTAACTGTCTTTTTCCCTTTTGGTCTTTATCTTTTACCCTAGTGGCACAGGCTCCCCGCTTGCACACTTTCTCTGTCTCCCCTAAGTTAGCAGCTGTGTGGGCTGCCTGAGAAACTGGTTGCCCCACCAGGGAACTCAGGATAGATACCAGCACCCTCGCACCATACCATTGCTTGGATGCCAGTTGGAGGATGGCATCTTTCATGCCAGCAGTAAAGAGCTCATTATCAGGCCAGGTGTGGTGGCTCAAGTCTGTAATTCCAGCATTTTGGGAGGCCAAGGAGAGAAGATTGCCTGAGTCCAGGGGTTTGAGACCAGCCTGGGTGACTTGGTGAGATCTCGTCTCTACAATAAATCAAAAAATTAGCCGGGCATGGTGGTGCATGCCTGTAGTTCCAGCTACTAGAAAGGCTGAGGTGGAAGGATCATCTGAGCCCAGCAGGTCGAGGCTGTGGTGGCTGTGAGTGTGCCACTGCATTCTAGCCTGGGTGACAAAGTGAGACTCCAACTAAAAAAAAAAAAACTCATTACAGGGGCCTCTGCAGTACTCAGCTTCGACGGCATGCCTCACCCCTAGCTCCCAGAGGACATCCTGCAGTTCTTCCATACTTTGCCAATGTAAAAAGAGATGAGGGGACGTCTCCCTCGTTTGGCCAGGCACCCTTGCAGCCCCCATCACCCGAGCAAGAAGGAGAGTAACCCAGTCCTCATTACTGGCAATACAGAGGCGCTGTCACAGGATGGGTTGATCTGTATGAGAAGCCAGCTTGCTCATTTCTATCCCAGTAAATATAATTCCCTCCATTCCTGGTGCCTTGTAGGCAGAGGAGCCAGCCAGTCATCGACTATCTCCCTTTCTGCCTGAAACTGTTTCCCAGCTCCACCAATTCTGCCACGATGGAATCCCATCTAGTGGTGTGTTGCTGCTTCTCTGGGGACAAGTCCTGCAGGTCCACTCATGGTGAGCATGGTTGCTCGGCTTTGATCTTGGTTGTGACTACTGACTGTGTGAAGAGAACAGGGCCCTCTATGGGCTCCTCCCAATCCTCTTCCTTCTCACCAGAACTTTCCATGGGGTTCCAAGATTTGGAGTCCCAAGATGTCTTATGATAGCTCTGACCCACTGGTGCAGCAGCTAGTAACTCTTCAAATGGGTCACTCGACAAGTCAGGGTCTCCATTTTGTCATCCCGTTCCCTTGGCGGGCTTTCAGCATCTCCACCGTTTCTACCTGGGCTAATCTAGCATCTCTATCCAGTCATAGCTCATCCTGCAACTGTCACACCCTTGGCCTCAGAGGCTACTGGGTACACAGTCAGGAGTGGCCAGCTAACTGCGGCTGCCACAGCCCAGACATCTGACCTTCGTTTAGTGGGATACACTTTGTGCAGTAATTCTTCCAGACCTTTTGGTGTTCTCGGGGCGTCCCTGTACTCACTCAGTGGGCCCCATCCATTAGGATGATCACTACTGGGCCTCACAGAGAAGTGGACGGCCACTCTTCCCTACCGCCATTTCCCCCACTGATTCTTCCTAACCCATCACTTTGATGCTCACAGGGGTTTCTTCAGCCCTGGCTCACTTGCCACATGTAGTGCCAGATCCCCAAAGACCTGAAAAGGGAAGACTAAAGAAATGCCCCAGAGGCAATGGACAAGACATGGGCTTTATTCAGGAATTTAGATACAGTAAATGTGGTCTAGGAGTAGCCAGCTGGACAGGGAAAAAAACTCCCAATTATAAAAGGCACAGATTAGCATTTTACATAGAGTGGAATGTGGGGGTAAGCATGAAAAATGTTGGGTCTCTTGTGAATAGGTCTAGTGTGAGAACGTGCTTATACGTATGTCACATACGTATGTACACAAGGTGGTTGTGTTTTCTCTCTAGAGGTGGGATTTTTAATATTATAATGAACTAAAGTATGCTGGGCGCAGTGGCTCAAGCCTGTAATCCCAGAACTTTGGAAGGCTGAGGCGAGAGGATTGCCTGAGCCTACTGGTTTCAAAACAAGCCTAAGCAACTGGTAAGACCTCTTCTCTACAATAAATCAAAAAAATTAGCCAGGTGTGGTGTTGCACACCTGTAGTTCCAGCTACTTGGAAGACTGAGGCAGAAGAATCTCTTGAGCTCAGTAGGTTGAGGCTGCAGTGGCCGTGAGTGTGCCACTACACTCCAGCCTGGACAACAGAGTGAGACTCTGACTCATATTAGAAAAAAACAAAAACTAAAGGTAACTGAAGATTATAGGCCTTGATCCAGACAGGCTGATCTGGTCTGAACCAGCTTGGGAGAGGCTAACTGCCTCAGGAAGGTGCATGAGAACATTCACTAAGCAGAACTGCGAGGTGTGGTCAGCAGGCTCAGAGCGCACTTCATCCACTGTTGGAACAATGGGCTGTGTCCTCAGCCTGACCTGCATGCCCGGCACAGAGCCTTAGGGGAAGAGACATCCCACGTTGGCCACCCCCAGGACCCCTCTCAGGCTCTAACACCCTGCTTGGGCTGTGTCCAGGGTAAGCTCATGTTGTCACTGAGTGTGTGTCATCCTCCAATAGCCTGGGCGTTTCCTCAAGTGATTAAACATAGAGTTACCATATGACCCAGCAATTCCACTCTCTGGTATATACCAAGAGAAGTGAAAACATATGTCCACACAGATACTATTGGACACAAATGTTTATAGCAGCATTATTCGTAATAGCCAAAAAATGGAAACAACTCAGATGTTCATCAACAGATGAGTGGAAACACAAAAGCTGGAATATCCATACAATAGAATATTATTTGGCCATCAAAAGGAAGTACTGATACATGCTACAAGATAGATGGACCTTAAAAACATTCTGCTTAGTGAAAGAAGCCAGCAGCAAATGACTATATACTTAATGATTCATAAAAGTATATAGTCCAGAGTAGGGAAATCTAAAGAGACTAAAAGTAGATTAGTGGTTGCCAGGGGCTGGGGTGATGGAAGGGAATAGGAGGTGGTAAATGAAAGATACGGGTTCTTTCTAAGGTGATGAAAGTGTTCTGAAATTGACTGTGGTGATGGTGCAACAATCTGTGAGCATTAAAAAGAAACCATTGGGCCAGGCACTGTGACTCATGCCTATAATCCCAGCATTTTGGGAGGCCGAGGTAAAAGGATTGCCTGAGCCCATGGGTTTGAGACCAACCAGGGCAACTTGATGAGACTTCATCTCTACAATTAAAATTTTAAAAAACTAGCTGGGCATGGTGGCATGCGCCTGTAGTTCTGGCTACTCGGATGGCTGAGGCAGAAGGATCACCTGAGCCCAGCAGGTCGAGGCTGTGGTGGCTGTGAGTGTGCCACTGTACTCCAGCCTGGGTGACAGATTGAGACCTCCCCCCTCAAAAAAAGAACCATTGACCAGGTGCAATGGCTCGCACTTGTAATCCCAGTGCACTTTGGGAGACGGAGGCAAGAGGATTGCCTGAGCCTAGGGGTTCGACATCAGCCTGAGCAACTTGGCGAAACCTCATCTCTATCAGTTAGCCGAGTGTGGTGGCATGCACGTATGGTTCTAGCTACTTGGAAGGCTGAAGCAGAAGAATTGCCTGAGCCCAGCTGGTCAAGGCTGTGGTGGCTGTGATTGTGCCATTGAGCTTCAGCCGGGGCAACAGAGTGAGACTCCGACTTACCAAAAAAAAATTGTTACAGAGAAATAGGTACTAAAAGTCATCAGGGACATTGAGAAATGAGCTCTACTTGAGCCTCCAGGAAAGACTCTCTGAACACCTAGAAGAAATTCCCCAGAGGAGCTACCACCTCTGTGACAGTCTCGCTAGTGTAAAAGCCACCAGTGGAGCTCAGTGGGATTCATAGCCACCATGACTGCAGTGGTGTCACCAGCCCCACAAAGCAGGGACTAGGTACTGAAAAGCTACTGCAGAAAAATCTCATGTCTTCACGCAGAGATAGGGCCTGTCTCATATCTGCTTTGTAAATTCTGAAACCTAATTTGCATAACCCAATTTGAAGAGAATCTACTAAATGGTGGTAGCCTTTACAGTACAGCAAAGCACTCTAAGCCAGGCGGTTGGCTCACTCCTGTAATTCCAGCACTTTGGGAGACAGCGGCAAGAGGACTGCCTGAGTCAAGGGAGTCAAGACCAACTCAGGCAACTTGGAGAGACTTCATATCTACAATTTAAAAAATTAAAAAATAAAGTTAGCCAGATGTAGTGGCACATGCCTGTGGTTCTGCTACTTGGAAGGCTGAGGCAGAAGGATCACCTGAGTCCAGCAAGTCGAGGCTACGGTGGTCATGGACGACAGAGTGAGACTCTGGCACACACACAAAAAAGACACTCTAGAAGGAGCCAGTAATAGTGGAAAGGATCCCTGTTGTCAAATGGCATGTAAATGGCAGGGTGGGGGGATGCTCAGTGGTCAATGGATTTGACAGTGAGAAAGCCCTAGAGGTTCCTGGGAGGGCAGTGTCAGTGCAGTGGTGGAAGAAGAAGCCAATTGTACTGGGCAGACTGGTGAACAAGAAGCAAGGTGTCACTGAGTGTGGTAGCTCATGCCTTTAATCCCAACTGTAACTGACACAAGCTCAGCCATTTGTTGCTTGTACACAAAATAAACAAGCACGAGATATAGTGGAAGGAAGGTGATTTTATTCCAAAAGCTGACAGATGGGGAGATGGTCAGGCTCTTGTCTTCAAGAAACCGTTTCAGATCTTTCAGCTGAGTGCCAGAGTTTAAAAACGGAAACTTGGTATGGGGGAACATGCTGAAGTAGCACTGTGTGTGTCTTGATGGTGTTATCTTGGTCAGTGGTGCTCTTGGAGGCCTGGTTGGTGTCATTTCAGCTGCAGTCAGGATATGGATCAGTTAGGTTGTTTTTTTTTTTTGAGTTGGAGTCTCACTCTGTCACCCAGACTGGAGTGCAGTGGCCGTTCCCGGCCACCGCAACCTCGACCTGCTGGGCTCCGGCAATCCTTCCGCCTCAGCCTTCCCAGTAGCCAGAATTACAGGCATGCGCTACCACGCAGAATTACAGCCATGCGCATGCCTGTGATTTATTGTAGAGATGAGGTCTCGCTGCCCAGGCGGGTCTTGAACCCACGGGCTCAGGCAATCCACTCACCTCAGCCTCCCAAAGGCGTGGGATTACAGGCTGAGCCACCGAGCCCGGCTAGTTAGGCTGTTTTAAGATTAGCCCCTGGGATATCTAAACAAGCATATGGTCAGATAAGTGTGCATGACATAAGACAGTGTGGTAAATAAGGGAGAAAAGAAGTTTCTAAAATATGTTTCAAAGTTTAAGAGTAAGAAACTTTACATTTTAAGGCTGGGATGCTCAGTTATACAATAAGGTTTAAAAAAAAAAGGAAGCCGGGCTCAGTGACTCAGCCTATAATCCCGCGCTTTGGGAGGCTGAAGTGAGTGGATTGCCTGAGTCCACGGGTTCGAGACCCGCCTGGGCAACTTGGCGAGACCTCATCTCTACAATAAATAAAAAATTAGCCAGGCGTGGTAGCGCGCACCTGTAGTTCCAGCTACTTGGAAGGCTGAGGTGGAAAGATCGCCGGAGCCCAGCAAGTCGAGGCTGTGATGACCGGGGGCGGCCACTGCACTCCAGTCTGGGCAACAGAGTGAGACTCCAACTCAAAAAAAAAAAAAAAAAGGAAGTCTGAGCAGAGGCTGCAAAACCTCTCAAGCTCTGTGAGGTCTTAGCCTCAAGAGGCACCTTGCCAGCATCGGCCAGGTCTGCTCTGTGGCTTCACTTCGTCTTGCTGTTAAGGTCTTGATGACATTATGACATTACACTCCAGAGCAATAACTAAGGTCAGGGATTAAAATATCAAAGATTGGTTTTGAATTGATAGACTGGGTGAAGAAGACCTGTTCTCACCATTTTCGGAGGTTGTCAAGCTATTTTCCTGCTCATCAAGAAGTTATTGATGGCCAGGCACGGTGACTCAAGCCTGTAATCCCAGCTCTTTGGGAGGCCGAGACGAGAGGATTGCCTGAGCCCAGGGGTTTGAGACCAGCCCAGGCAACTTTGTGAGACTTCGTCTCTACAATAAATAAATAAAAATTAGTGGGGTGTGGTGCGTACCTGTAATTCCAGCTACTTGGAAGGCTGAGGTGGTAGGATCACCTGAGCACAGAAGGTCGAGGCTGTGGTGGCCATGAGTGTGCCACTGCACTCCAGCCTGGGGGACAGAGATTCCAACTCAAAAAAAAAAAAAAAAAAAGAAGTTACTCACATATATAGGTCCATCATGCAGTGGGTTCAGAGCCTTGCCAATCTTTGAGTTGAGAAAGTCAGAATTCTCATTGTGGGGGGTTACAAAAGTTCCCATCACCTTCCACAAAGCAGCTTCCAAGGTGTGTGAAAGTTGAAGGGAGCGGCTGGAAACAATGGAGTTGGATATAATCAGGTGGAATTCACTGAAGTTCCCAAGTTTTCAGAAGTACAAGAAACAGCCAGCCATGTTGACCCGAGGATAGGAGCTGGTGATGGGATGGGGCTGAGAGACTCAGATTTGCAGAGTAACCTACTCCTACTTGCAACTGTCACTGTATAAGTCAGGGTTCTCAGAAACACAGAACCTGAAGGAAACTGTCTCTATTATTTATTATGGAAACTGGCTCACACAATTGTGGAGGCTGAGAAGTCCCATAACCTGCCAACCACAAGGTGAACCAGGAAAGCTGGGGATGTGATTCAGTCTGAATCCAAAGCCTGAGAACCAGGGGAGACTGTGGTGTAACCCTGAGTCTTGGCCCAAAGACCTGAGAACCTGGTATGGGGGAAGCGCTGGGGTAAGTCCCAGAGTCCAAAGGCCGGAGAACCAAAAGTTTCAATGTCTGAGGGCAGAAGACAGTGTCCTAGCTGAAGACAGCAAATTCAACCTTCTTCCACCTTTTTGTTCTATTCAGATCCTCACTGGATTGGACGATGCCCATCTACGCGGGTGAGGATGGGTCTTCTTCACCCAGTCTATCAACTCAAAGCCGATCTCTTCCTGAAACACGCTAATAGACCCTCCCAGAAATGTTTTATCAGCTATCTGAGCATCTCATAGCCCAGTCAAGCCGACACATAAAACTATCACAGACCCTTAACAAACATGATTAGTAAGTCACCAGGTTGTTCATCAGGGGTCTCAGTTTGTCCATCTGTAAAATGAGGATAAGGCTCACTGCCCCAGATTGTGGAAAGGATCAAATGAGATATGCATGGCAAGTGCCCAGCACTTATTGGGCACTTAGTAAAAAGCAGCTATTATATAGCCAGGTTCAGTGGCTCACACCTTTAATCCCAGCACTTTGGGAGACTGGGGTGAGAGGATTGTCTGAGCCCAGGGGTTCAAAATCAGCCTGGGCAACTTAGCGAGACCTTGTCTCTACAATTAAAAGAAAAAATAGCTGGACATGGTGGCACCTGCCTGTGGTTCCAGCTACTTGGAAGGCTGAGATGGAAGGATTGCCTGAACCCAGCAGGTCCAGGCTACAGTGGCCATGAGCATGCCAGTGCACTCCAGCCTGGACAAGAGTGAGACTCCAGCTCAAAAAAAAAAGCAGCACCGGGCTCAGTGGCTCAGCCTGTAATCCCGCACCTTTGGGAGGCTGAGTTGAGTGGATTGCCTGAGCCCGCGGTTTGAGACCCACCTAGGCAGCGAGACCTCATTTCTACAATAAATACGTGGTAGCGCATGCCTGTAATTCTGGCTACTTGGAAGGCTGAGGCGGAAGGATCGCTGGAGCCCAGCAGGTCGAGGTTGCGGTGGCCAGGAGCGGCCACTGCACTCCAGTCTGGGCGACAGAGTGAGACTCCAACTCAAAAAAAAAAAAAAGCAGCTATTATTATCTCCATCATCATCATAATTAAATGTAGATTCATTTTGCGTTTGTTCAGACAGTGGAAGACATTATCATTTACATTACAATAACTGACAAAGTTATCCTTGACAGACGCAGGTCTGTGGATCCAGAGCGTCATCTGCAGCAATGAGGAAGTCATCCCAGGCCCTTGGCCTGGTGTTTTGGCGACAATTTGATGTGAAGATGGCAGCCAGGGTGCTTTGGGGCAGCCTCAGCCTTCTCCGTGTGCTGTGGTGTCTCCTTCCGCAGACAGGCTACGTGCACCCAGATGAGTTCTTCCAGTCACCTGAGGTCATGGCAGGTAAAGCTCCCCATGTGTGGTTAAGATGAAGTACAGCAGAGTCTGTCTGAGGAGCCGGGTGGATATTTTGTGGGAGGAAGAAGTTTGTGCAGATGAGAAGTAAATCCACAAGCAAAGCAGCAGCCTCTCTGGGATAAGAACTTACAAGCGGGGATTTCACATCTCCTTCCTGAGTGGTGACACCGATCTTCGGAAATGAAAGCTGGGTTGGACTTCCCCAGTGGTTAGGAAAACTTACACAGGGCTGTGAGCTGAGATAATGAAATTTTTCTTCTGTAGGTTTAAGTAAGGGGTAGGGAACCAAGACTTGGGATATATGCTTGCTAGAACTAATCTGCTAGAGGGTGTGGGACACATCATGAGGATGCTTTTCAGGGGCCTTGAGGTTTTTCAGATGCTATGGGCATGTGGCTTCCTCCTCATGGTTCAAGATGACTGCTTGAGTCCAGCCATCAAGTCTGAAACCAGTCTTCCCAGCCAACAGAGGAGAGGGGCATGCCTTCTCTCTTTAAGGTCACATTTTGAAAGTTGTTAGGTTACACTCCCAGTGGATCCTGCAGAATGTTAGGTCAGGTCCCATGGGGGGTGTCTGGTCTGTGATCTGGTGCCATACAAAGGATGCAAAGAATTGCACAGATGTTATATGGAAAAATATAGTTTATTTAGAGAGTGAGAAAGAGAGAAGAGATTCACCTTCCCAAGGTAGAGGAAAGGGCCAAAGCTAAGAAAACATATTGGCCGTAGCTCAAAGAACACATGGCCTGGCCAGTGCTTAGCAAGGCAATGGCGAATGGCTGCTCAAAGTCAAATCCTTTTAAACCTTCCCTTTGATGGCAGAAGGTCTTTAAGGTGACTGGGTGGTGGTCTGCTCCACGTCATCACGAAGGGGCAGGTAAGCGCAGGTAGTGATCTCAGGTAGTGATTCATCAATGGGAGGCATATAGGTGGGTTAGTCACATGATTGCTACCATGCTGACAGGGTCTGACAGAAGGTCAGAAAGGGCTGATTAGGTTAACTTGTTTACAAAACAAGCTGGGGAGAGCATTGTAAAACAATAGCTACCGCCAGGCTCGGTGGCTCAGCCTGTAATCCCATGCCTTTGGGAGGCTGAGGTGAGTGGATTGCCTG